AGCTCTAGCTGTTTTTCTAATAATAGATAATATACAAAACTTGCCATCAACTATAGTTAAACTCTGGCCCCCTGGCTCTACCTCCTGCCCAGTCCTGTCCTCCTCCCCACCAGCTCCTCTCCCATCCCCAGTTCCGCTGCTGAGGGAGCCATGGCTGGTGGAGGAATGGCGGGGGGGGGGGGGGGGGGGAGAAAGAGAATATGTTAATAGTAAGAAAGGATGTAAACTGCATTCCCTTTTTAAATGCCTTGAGAACAGTTGCCACAGGCTGATAGTGGTCAGACAATACAAGCGATAACCACCAAATACCTCCATCCCCCCTTTTCTTCTTTTACAAACCCATTACTTTGAACTAGTGCTTGTTGTTCAGAAGGGGGGGGGGGGGGGGGAGAAAGAGAATATGTTAATAGTAAGAAAGGATGTAAACTGCATTCCCTTTTTAAATGCCTTGAGAACAGTTGCCACAGGCTGATAGTGGTCAGACAATACAAGCGATAACCACCAAATACCTCCATCCCCCCTTTTCTTCTTTTACAAACCCATTACTTTGAACTAGTGCTTGTTGTTCAGAAAGTGTGATATAAACATGTTTACAGAGCCATAAAACAAGAGGTCACCAAAGCTTTTCAGTCTCAAAATGCGAAAATAGTGTTCAAAAGACACCAGCTAAAGTACATTTTGAAAAAAAAATTAAATTCAACTTCCATAGGCATGAACTGTGTTAATTTTTCTTAACTTTGTCATTCCTAAAAGTTCCTTAATGCCCTTCCTTCTCCATCTCCTTTTTCTGTGATGAATATTCTCTCCTCCAATTTCAAAAATTAAAATGCAATCACTGCTCACAGTACATGTGCACATAAAATGCCTGATGCTATGTGGTACTATGGAGGGAAGCAACACCTCACAGGAACAGATAGATAAACAGTTTCAGAAGACTGACACGCTATTTATACAGTTTTTTGGTGACTGATCATATTGTCCTTATTCAGGGAAAGTCCCATATACTTTAGTGGGAGTTTTGTTGGAGTGAGGAGCACGCTGCTGTAATACAGTAGGAAGTGTACTACCATGAAATTTTGCTAGGCAATGGATTGGTGAACCATTGTAATTCATTGCTTTCCATCCTCACTTCTGATTTTTGGATAAGAAATACATAATATTTGCAAACTTTAAGATAGAAGCTGACCACAGGAGAAAGTTATTGATAATGAATTCTTGCACTCCCACCCACATTCTCAAGCCCTTTCCCTGACTCTACACCACCATCCCCTAACCCCCCAGCAATGCCAGGTAAATCTGCTAGTTATCCATATAAAAAAGAAAAAGCACCAAAAAAAGTCAGTTGAATTTTTTCATGAGCAGTGTCCTCTACTTGAAATATTTCTGTATTTAAACAACCTTATTTTGTCTTATCTTTGTTTAAAAACAAAAACCAAAATCTCAAAACTTTTGGCTGATATACACTGATTTTTCTAAACTGGTATACAAGTCACATTTAATAAAAAAGTAATGTTAAGTTAGCCTACAGTTTATAAAAATGCACATACTATTTACAAGATTCCAGTATCAAGGTTGTTTCCTTCCACTACACATACTAGTACAGGTTGGACCTCCTGGGTCTGGCACTCTCGGGACATGGGTGGTCCCGAAGGAGGGATTTTGCTGGATCAGGGTCAGTCATTGCTGGCCCCCCACCACTGGTCCCCACTTAGCACGGCTCAACTCCTGGCTTGGCCTCCCAGCCACCTCCCCACCTGCCACCAGTCCCCACTGCCCTCTCACGGCAGTACACAGTCCCCCTGGGGCTCCCAGCTCCACTGCAGAAAACTACTGACCCGCTGCAGGTGCTTCCATCCCTGCCGCAGCAGTATTGGCCCTACCAGCAGATGTCCTGTGGCAATACTAGGCCTGCCAGCCCACAGTCCCGCTGCCAGGACTCCTGCCTCCCCGCTCCCTGCAGCAAACCACTGCTCAGCCACCACGGTTCCTGTCCCTACCAGCCCTACTGAGGCAGCAGTGGCCCCACCAGCACTGCTGCAGCAGCCCCCAGTTTCACCATCAGGACTCCTGGCCAATGTAGCAGCCCGCTGCCTGCCGGAGCCTGCTGACATTCCGGCCACCCTGCCTCTAGCTTTGATGGACTCCTGTGGCAGGGCTCCCAGCTGCTGGCCTAGCTGCAGCTATCCTGGCTGGGTTCCCAGCCCCCCGCAAGACTCCTGCCTCTGGCCATCCACTGGGTCTCTCTGGTCCAGCTACATCCATGGTATTGTCGCACCACAAATGTTGCCAAACCAGAGAGTCCCGTTTGAGAGAAGTTCAACCTGTACACTGATATGTTGTTATAAAATTATTGCAAGTATGGCGCTGTTGTCACTTTTTGTATTTATTTTCAAGAACGTATGTTTTGTAGGAAAAAAATGTACGCCTTTTATAAAGAAAATGCAAGATTTCTTGTCCTTTCCAACATAAGTGTAGTTACTCGAAAGTACCACTGATTCTGCTCATGATCCCAGCACTCAGTGTTGGATCATTTGGATTGCACCATTTGAGAAGAGCTTTACCGTGGTGCTGAATGCTTATTGAAAGGGTCTTTCTATTCTGTACAGGTTCTTCTATTGACCCGCACTACTGTAATCAGAGCACTTTCCATTGGATGTGTGTGTCACTAACTGCCAGCACTAGACCAACTAATCTTCCTACCCCCCCATCTTTGTGGCACTAGTCTTGGAAATAGCTGCGAGATATTAAATGTTTGCAATAGAAGTTTGAGGTTAGAGATGAGAAATTCTATCTTCAAGTAGAATAAATAGTTTATTTTTTAGTGGTTTGGTACATTTAATTTAAAACTAAAGCTTAGCTTATATACCCAAAACCCTACAAACAAACACTCTTTGTGTTAAGGAAAGAACTGCCCACCACTCTGCCTAATCCTCTCCTGCAGTAATCTCTTACTCCTACCTGGCTACTTCCAAGTTGTAACCATCTGGCAGAGCTACTATAAACAGGCATGAAAAGTATCTCAGTATTAGTGCTAGCATCATGATGATGTACACATGCATAAGCAAGGACAGACGCACTGTCAAGAACTGATTCCAGTGCTGCTACTGGTGAGAACCACGAAAATATAAATTTAAGACTGGAAAATTTTAAACTAAACAGTTAGCTATGTGATACTTCAAAAATCCCGAGAGTTATTCAAGACTTTTCATCCTTATGTGTTTATGGAGATTTGGTTCATTCTTAGCTTTACTCTTCTTTCACTCTAGAAACCTGGGTTCCAATCACTGATTGAGTTACTTAACACAAACAAGTCTGGAGATGTAAGTATTTGTTCATATTGTAAAACCAACATGAAAATTGGCATAGTCTTAGAAGAGCAGGGAACAAAAAACAAAACGAAAACAAGGACTGAAATTCTTTGGAAATCTTTGAGAAGGAGCTTGCACAGCACCAGCCTACTTGATGCATGCCTCCAGCCAAAGATGTTACCTGCAGGAGCACCAAAAGTATCCAATTTGGATGTAACAGCTGTTCAAGACATTCTAAATATAACACAGAAGGGGCACAAGTTATTGTGTTCAGCTAGTCTAGTTTAATACTAGTTCAACTAAATGATTTTCTAGAGTTTGGCAGATTAATTAGTATTTTTAATTAATAAACTACAATTAGGGGCCTCAATCCAAAACATGTCCTTTAGTAATAAAACAGATATTTAAGTAACATATAAAATTATTCCATGTTCCATATTAAACTATGTTATCATGTGTACAGGATTTCAACCCTTAGCAAAGCATAACATTTAGCCCAGGAATTTTTCTTCATTATTATTACTATTACTTTTAAGCAATGTCTGTGCATTCTTTAAGGTATAAAAAACAATTGTTTTCTCTTCTTGCTTTTGGGATAGCTAGATATTCATCTCTTGTTAGGATTCTTTGAAATAATTCCCCATCATTATGGACTACTATAAAATTCATACAAACAGAGCTATTTTAACTTGCATGCCACAATTTCTTCTTTCCTTGATAAACAAGATGGTTTAATTTATGTTAACTGTGTGGTCTGTTGCTATTGTACACTTGCTTTGCTGGGAAACTGCATTTCCATTCTGGATTCTTTCCATATTCTGGTCAATTTTGTCATGTAATTTTTCTTTGTTTTCCTAAAACTTTTACCATCTTAGATAATATATTAAATTATCTAACTAGTCAAGAAAGCAGTATGGGTACTGTATAACTATTTTTATTTCTAAAAAATCTTTCATTTATTCTTCCTATTAGAGTTTTACAAATATTTCTTTCTATTTTACTGTTTTTGTGTATGATCTAATGATTCTGGACTAAAGATGTTGACTTTCTATTGTTATTTGGGGTTAATGGCTATTCATTATTCTCCCCGTTATGTCAAAATGTGTCTACAAAATGTATCTAGTCTACAAAAATGTGTCAAAAACAGCAGCTCTCTGGTATAAGCAATCATGAAAATGAAATGAAGTAAAGTTCAAGAAAAGAGAGAAGGCTCTATCTCCATTCCCTAAATCAACATTGTTGTACAGAATAACTGCAACAACTGGACTCAGGCTTGTGTTTAAGAGAGATGCATCTTTAAACTAGCTCTGCAGTCCAAAGCAATTACATAATTATGCAGTATCTGTGCATTTCAGCTGATTGGCCTTATATTTGAAATATTAAGGCACTTTTGGAAAGATATTAAAATAAAGTACATCTCACGTAAAGATCTAAAGCTTCCAAAGCCTACACACAAATTATGGAACGTTATGCTCAACTTATGGAGATATGCACTATACAACCTAATGTTAGGCCCTCCATTAATACCACACTTGTTATAAAGTATATCAAGGATGCCATTAGTTTTAGGTTATTAAATATACAAACAACCCCATTGCCCATTTAATGTTTTACATCTGTTCACTTAAGCATGCAAAGATCAGTCACACACAGCATGCAGCATGCAATAAATGCAGAGCAGAGGTTAATAACCTGGAAGCATAGGATCTGAGAATGTGAGAACAAGTTAAAGACAAGAGTTCCTCTCCATTGTCACTGAGGGTCGAGAAGCAATGCTGCAGCGTGGAACAGTGAGAGTGAGGGAAATACAGTTTGTCCAAGACATATACATATCTCCGCAAGTGGCGGCAGGTATAACTGAAAGACAAGGGTAAAGGGAGAAAAACAGAAAGAGGAATTTTCTTTTAAGAAAGCCAATTAATGTTTTATTCCCAAAGAGGTTTTTGTGCTGACAGCAGAAGATGCCAAACAGAGCAAAGCAGCAGTTCAAACTAAAACAAAAATTAGAAAGACAGAAAGAACTGATAATCCATGTGCTGGGTCTATTACTAAAGCAAACAGAGTTTGCCAAGTTTGGAGCTTGTAAACAAAAAAAAAATAATAAAAAATATAAAGAAATTTTTAGCTGACTTAACTTGGCTTGAAGATATGAACTCATGAGCCTGGACTTGGTATACAATGTTACCAGAAAAAAAAAAAAAAGAATATTCAATGGAATTTAACTAGCTTCATGGAAAAACACATCTTACCCCAGAGGAGTGAAAAAGTCATGTAGAATTACTGAGTCATTACCTTGAAATACTCATGCATCCTAGAATCCCAGCAGTGGAGACAGCCTATCAGTTATTAAAAACAGCATTGGTCAGTCCTTCCATGAGAAACCTCTTGAAATTATTTTTATGAAATATACACTTGTCTTAAAGTTGGCAGATGGCGGAGGGTTGTGGGAAAATCACTCGGAGATATTTGGCTTTAGTGTTAATACAATGTGGACAGAAACCCAGAAAATATGTTGATCACTCGAGTCAAATTTCATATAGCCTGTGTTAATGCTACTTCACAATATCCTTGCACTCATGAATGTATTAAGAGGACCAGGCCAGCGAACTGTGAGGGGGCACCAAAAGGGGCAACTGTGTCGGGGCCTGGTACTTTAAGAGGGCCCAGGGTTCCCAGCTGCCACTGCTGCTATAACAGCAACAGCAGCGGCCCTGGGCAGCTCTGAAGGGCTGGCTGAGGGAGGCTACCCTGAACCCTTCCCCTTCCAGGGCCCCAGAGATGCCCCCCCCCCTGCATCTTGTCCAGGGCCCAGTGAAGTCTATTGGCCACCCTGTGGAGGATAAGCTGATCAGTAGAAGTTAATCTATAATATACTGTACTGCTATCACACTATCATGTATCATGGTCTCTACCTCAAATGGTTTACAATCAATCTGGCACTTTATGGGCATGTAGCCAGGCCATCTATTCATTGCATATATGTTGCGGTTCACAGGAGGAGCAAGAACCAATACAGAACAACTCAAGATGTGTCTTCATTGCAAATTTAATCTATCTGCTCTGCCTCATGTGCCAATCACATGTGCTAGCCTAGCCCACATGTAAGCAACCATAAATCAAAACTGTGCACAAGTTGCTGTGCTCTCTCTGGTGCTGCACTCACCAGTGTGTGTTTCTAGGACTCCTGGGGCAATATCTCCTCTAGAAAGCAGAGATGTTCTATGTTGCCTTCCTAGTGTATTCAGACCGAACTTGTCTGTGTCTGAGTGTACAAAGGGATTGTGGGCATGTACTAGACTACAGGATTATTAGCACTTAAGTGATTTAGCCTGAATACTAAAAGTGTGTGGGATTACTAGCTCAAGAGAAAGCAGTACTGGAACTCTAGCCTATATCCCCATCTGGTCTGGCTAGCTTGGGTTCAAAGAAACACCAAATTCAGGAAAGGTTGGGGAGGCAGGGGGGAGAGGAGTTAAGAGACAACACCAAAGAGAGAACCCAAGTTAACCCTGAAGACAAGGCATACTATCAATATACAACCTCCCACCCCAAACCACACTGCAGTTTAGATTATAAGTACTTTAAGATAAGGGCTATGTCTTTGTATGTTTGTATAGTTTCTGGCAGAACAGAGCCTCAGTTCTGATTGAGACCCCTGGGCATTATTAATACACTAGCCAATAGCCCATCATCAGACAGGATTTCCAGGTCTCTCCTCCACGTCCTATTCCCTTTCTATCTCTCTCTTCTCTCCTGAACCTCCGGTCTCTTGCTCTGTCTTTCTCTCTCTTTCGCTCTCCTACTGCTTCCCCCACACACTCTCTCAGCTCTCCTCCGCCTCCTGCCTCTCTCTCCATCTCTCTCTTTCTCTTCTCCCTCTGCTGCCTCTCATTCTCTCTCTGCTCTCCTCCGCCTCCTCTCTCCTCTGTCTCCGTCGGGGATGCACGCTCGTCCAGGCTCCACCCCCTGGCCATGTAAGTCACCGCTCCGCCCCCCTTCGCCTCCCGCCATGGTGCTCAGCTGACTTCTGCGCCGCTCAGCCGGGCAGCCGCGGGGGAGCAAGCGGCGCACGCGGCCGTTTGGGCCCTGCACTCCCCATGCAGCACGGGCCACCCAGAGGGAACAGCCAGCATTTTGGGCAACAGCATCGCCCAGAGGGAACAGCCAACATTTCAGCGTTACAGACTCTCAGACATTAGGCTACTATGATATGATAGATAAATAATAGATGGTTGTGGGATTCTCTGTGGCCTGCACTACTTTGCTATCTCCATATTTATGGCTCCAAGACAGGGGTGGAGAATCTTTTTTGGGGCACGGGCCACTGACCCACAGAAAAATCAGTGAAAAGCAAAAAAAAAAAAGCTTTGATTTACCTCTAAATGTCTTCTACAAGCCCAGGAAGTGTTGGCAATGCTGCTAAACAATATTGACCTCCTCTGGTTTGGCAAATTCTCTGGTTCTGCTCTGGTCAGGATCCCAAGGATGAAGTTCAATCTGTATATCTTTTTTGAGATGGTGTGATCTGCACACAGTAGTTAAGGTGTGGGAGTACCATGGATTTATATAGAGGCACTGTGATATTTATTACCTTATGATCTATCCTATTCCTAATGATTCCTAACATTGTTAGTTTTTCTGACTGGTGCTGGACACTGAGCAGATGTTTTCAAAGGACTATCCATGATGACTCCAAGATCTTTCTTGAGTGGTAGCAGCTAATTTAGAGTACATCATTTTGTATAGCTGGGATATTTCCCAATATGCATTACTTTACAATTATGAATATTTAATTTTATCTGCCATTTGTTGCCCAATCACCTAGGTTTGAGAGAGCCCTTTGTAGCTCTTGGCAGTCTACTTTGGACTTAACTATTTTCAATAATTTTGTACCATCTGCAAACATTACCATCTCGATATTTACTTCCTTTTCCAGATCATCTGTGAATGTTTAACAGCACTGGTCCCACTACAGATCTTTGGGGGATCCCCTGTATTTAACTCTCCAGTATGAAAGTTGAACATTTATTCGTTCCCTTTGTTTCCTATTTTAACTAGTTAATGATCATTCCTTCTTATCACAACTGCTTACTTTGCTTTAAAGCCTCTAGTGAGGGATCTTATCAAAGGGTTTTTCAAAGTCCTGGTATAGTATATCCACTAGATCACCCCTATCCTCATGTTAGTTGACTCTCTCAAATAATTTTGATAGATTGGTGACACATGACTTGCCTTTACAAAAGCAGTGTTGACTCTTACACAACATATCATGTTTAGCTGTGTACGCTAATTCTGTTCTTTACTATAATTTCAGCCTGGTACTGAAGTTAGGCTTACTGGCCTGTAATTGCCAAGATCACCTCTGAAGCCTTATTTAAAAACTGGTATTACTTTATCTAAGAATACATTTCAAAGGTTTACTGTTCTATAAAGAGAGGGGGCAAAAGTTGAATTAAGCTACGCAACTTGAGCTTTGACAATTGCATAGCTTAAGTTGAAACAGCTTAGTTCAGTTTTTGGCACTGTCTACACAGCAGGAAGTCGAAGAAAGAACTCTCTTCTTTCAACTTCCCTTACTCCTCATAAAATGAAGGTTACAGAAGTTGAGAATGAGTCGTCCTCCAGCTCACTATTATTTCGAAATAATGGCTTGCAGTGTAGACACACTTTTTGTTATTTCAGAATAACACTGCTGTGTAGGCATAGCCTAAGGTGCCACAGGACTACTCGTTTTTAAAGTTACAGTGTAATACAGCTCTCTCAGACTGTTTTTCAGGGTTGTCTTGTTCTCCCTTTACCAAAATAAAGTATTTTTGTTACCATGGAAACAAATAATCTCATTGGAATGGGCTCAAGTTTAATGTTACACACAAATGCAAAACAGTCATTTTTTCCCCTGGTTAATATATATCAATTCACATACTGGTTACTGTGCTTATATAAAAGCTGTAAACACCTACCTCCTGCCACTGAAGTTGGCATAACATCAAGACGGCTCAAAGTTGTATATGTCATCTTGCAAATAGGAATGTACAGTAAATAAAATTTCTGACTAAAATGCTCATTTACATATACTACCATTAAATCTTGCACCTAATACATATTGGCAGTTGGGTCTAAGCACTGAGAATGCTATAAATGTTTGGTGCTTACCTGGTTATAGGGCTCTTTTCTCCTACTCTTGCCTCCTCAATCTCATACGTTAAGCAATTCACATAAGGCAAAAATTGGCATTGGGAATTCGTAAGGCAGTAACTGTTCCTTTGGAATCAATATCAAACAAGTACCTCAGCATGAAGCTAGGAGGCACCACTGGAAATGCTCTTTTGGATGAGAAGTAAAATAAAGGCCCTGGCCATTTGTGAATGATGAAAAGATTCCATGGTATTTCTCATAGTTTTTGTTTTTTCAAATGAGAGCACTATTCCTAGTTTACTGGCAAAACTATGATAGTTATATTCTATTTATATACATCTTTCCTACAATTTCAAGAGAATACTGGATTGTTCTTCACTTCTGACCCTAAATTATCAGGTAATTTCCCTGTACGTTGCTAAACAGCTTACATACTCTATGGAAGAGCACTTCTCTGAGCTATTTATTTTTATATGGCATATGGGGTGAAGTGAGGCTTACTAAATTAATCACTGGAAAGCACTGTGAAGTCCTGGAAGGAAAAGACTTATCACACTGCAAAATATTATTTAAATTCTAAAGAAAAAGAAAATAAATGACTTGTCCTACTGAGCATAAGTTCCCACACCCTTGAAGAAATACCATGTTTGTCACTGCAGATCCTACTAAATGAATGTAAATGGCCAGGGATACTCAGATCTCAGTGGGTCAGGAGCCAAAAT